TTTTATTTTCCCATACTTTGCTTCTTTTGAATCAGACTTTGTTTATTGTAATATTTTTGAAGTAGTCTTTATTTGTGATTCTTCATGCTTTCTAAAGTATTTCTACTTCTTTTCACTCATATCTTGTATCTGATAATGAAAGCATTAYGTGCAATGTTAGCTTAAACACAATRCCATAYKACTTCATAACGTGGTTAACAAAACAGCAAGACAGCTGACCAAAGAGCAGCACAATAAAACAAATAAGCACAGGACAGTCATGGAGTGAAGAAGAAGAAAAAAATGTACAATTGTCTACAGCAAGTAGGCAGTGTCTGAAACTCATGGCTTAAAGTAAAAAAAAGAAAACATCCAGCAAGGACCTGACATCCTCCGTCATCTGATCACCTATTAAATAAGGGTTGAAAAAGTTTTCAACAAATAGCTCTTATGGAATCACTTTGTTTGTGTTAAAATATTATTTTATCTGTCAAATTGTCTTGTCATTGGTATTTTTCCTTCACACATTCTACTGGAAAAAGATATATAAAAAAGAACAGATTGAGTCTTCATGACAGACTGCTGGTGTCAAGGTGCCTAAAGATTCTATTTAAAACAGGTTCTTTGCTGTTGTTTGTGTCAGCACAACAATTTTTCAAAAGGCTTCAAACAAACAAGTGTCCCGCCGAAAATGATGATATTTGACTAAAAGTCGGGACGTCTTTATAAATTTGAATCCAGCAGTTTTATCAAAGCATCTGCAAAGTAGATTTCCATCATGACATTTTGTCAAAATGACCAGTGGAAGCWCATCACAGAGTGATTGWTTTTATTTTATTTTATTTTCCAGTCTCAATGAAATATTTTTTTACAACGTCTTTTTGTGCAAAATAAAAATGTGTTGTGGTTCTGATATTTTGAAAAACCTTCTGGGAAAAATAAATTAAAAAATGAACGTTTAAGGTGACTACATGGTAAGTGACAAGGCATAATAAAACGTTCCATCTAAGAGATGTWTGTTGAATTTCACAGCAGTTCCTTGTTAAACTTGGATTTCATGGATCTCTGTAATTTGTTTGTGTCCAATATGCCTCCAGGATGCCAACACTCCTGTTGATTTGCTCTGTTTGGTCAAAGTGCCTTCAGATGGCTTTAGGCATTCAAACAAAAAAGACAAAACAAAGTACTTAACAAAATTGATAAATTTACATACAATTTACATCCCTGACAAAAAAAAAATGTAGTTACTCTGATCATACTTGACATCACTGGCATAAAAAAGATATCACTGTCAATTATATAT